TGTGACAACATGATTTTAGAAACAACTAGCAGAATCATACAGGGGAAGATGCCAGGAAAAGCTTCTCATAGGAGAATCTGGCTTAGCAAAGATCTCAATAATGAGGGCTGAGCAGAGATGGGGCGGGAAGGGGAAGATGAAGGGTAGGCTGTGGATGGGTGTCTCAGGCAGGATAAGCAAATGTCCAGAAGAGAAGGGAATGTGTGCTTTCAGGAATTTTAGAGTACTACTATCAGTGTCACACTTGATGCTCCAAAACATTTATCTTGACAGAAACTACTAAAACAGAAAAGAAACACTTCAAAAAGACGCCATTCTACCCATGACCATATAAGCGTCTATTCACATAATAAAGGGTGTACATATGCAGACAACTCCAAATATTCTACCAAATACTAAATTTCTAATTTTACAATAATTTCTAACGTAAGTATCATGTTTTTTTTATCATGCAGAATCTCAATCCTTGATTGGGAAACTCAGCTTAATAAACATTCTTTATTCTCTTTTTTTTTTTTGAGTTGGAGTCTCACCCCGTCACCCAGACTGGAGAGCAGTGGCCGCTCCCGGTCACTGCAGCCTCGACCTGCTGGGCTCCAGCAATCCTTCCGCCTCAGCCTTCCGAGTAGTTGGAACTACAGGCATGCGCTACCACGCCCGGCTGATTTTTTGATTTATTGTAGAGATGAGGTCTCGCCAATTTGCCCAGGCGGGTCTCAAACCCGCCGGCTCAGGCAATCCACTCACCTCAGCCTCCCAACGTGCTGGGATTACAGGCTGAGCCACCGAGCCCAGTTCATTCTTTATTCTCATACCCGTTCTACAGGAAAGACATTAATGCTATATTCTTGGGTTAAAAAAAGTGAGGCCTCAAAAGCGTATAGTACAATCTTGGGATACATGTATCGTTTATAAGCATATAGCAATATTAAAATCTGTAAGAGGCCAGGCGCAGTGGCTCAAGCCTGTAATCCCAGCACTTTGGGAGGCCAAGGCAAGAGAATTGCCTGAGTCCAGAGGTTCAAGACCATCCTGGGCAACTTGGTGAGACCTTGCCTCTACAATAAATCATAAAATCTATAAGAATATATTCTAGCATATTAATAGGAAAGAGTGAAATTATTTTTTAAAATTTCTGTCATACCTCTCTTTTTTTTTAACAAACAACTCTTATTTTTATTTATTTATTTATTTTTTGAGTTGGAGTCTCACTGTCGCCCAGACTGCAGTGCAGTGGCCGCTCCCGGCCACCACAGCCTCGACCTGCTGGGCTCCGGCGATCCTTCCACCTCAGCCTTCCGAGTAGCCGGAACTACAGGCGCACACTACCACATCCGGCTAATTTTTTGATTTATTGTAGAGATGAGGTCTCGCCAAGTTGCCCAGGCAGGTCTCGAACCCATGGACTCAGGCAATCCACTCACCTCAGCCTCCCAAAGCGTGGGATTACAGGCTGAGCCACCGAGCCCAGCTACAACTCTTATTTTTAAACCTCAGACTTATATTTCCACAACCCTTTCCTGCTGAAAGCCAACACTCAGGGAATCCCAGAGCAGTCCACAGTCAGGACCCCTTGCACTCTCTTTGGCTTTGGTAACTGCTGGCTCCAGGGACTCAGCCTGGTTTCCTATCTATCCCCTCAGTAGTTGTCACCACCCACTTTCACCCTTCTGTTTCTCTACCACTAACTCTACATCTGGCTATAAGTGAGATGAAGGACCAGAAGGAAGTTACTGCTAATCTATAAGTTAGAAAGAGATATGCGATCACATAACAAGGTATAGGAAAGAAATGACTTTTGCATAACCGTTCCAAGCTGTGTATAGTTGATGCCTCTGGTTTATAGTTCTTAGCACATCTCTGAAACTGTGAGACAGTATTGGGTAGTCTCTGAACCGATGGTGGAACCACTGATGGCTGTGGTTATTCCAAAGTGTCTGGGAATCAGGGATATTATAAGGATCACTATTGGAATAAATTAATCTTACCATATAAATACCACTAGTTTACAAGCATATGTAAATATCATTAATAACCAAATTCATAACACTTAATATCTTATGTTTAAGCATTTCTCAATCAACAGGCATTAAAACTGTAAGTCTCAAGTAAGCAGCTACATAATTTTTTGATTCTCAAGTGTACAAATGCTCAAAAAAGTTAAGAACACTAATGTAAAGGAAGGAACCCAGATCTCAGGAATGTGATAAAACAGGGTTTAAATGGCAGCTTCATCAGTTAACTGAGTGAATTTGACCATGTGTCTTAAACTCTAAGCCCCAGTTTGCACATCCAAAAGTGAGTGCACAAGGCAGACTAGAAGATGTTAACTGCCCCTTTGAAGATCACCAAACAAAAGGCCAATTTTTTAGGCCTCTGGCCAGCACGGCCAAAACTGCCTCTTGGCACTTCTTATCATCAGAAATATTTTTTTAAATGCATGTAAAATGAAATCCTCAATATTATTTCTTTTTTTGAATATTAACATGTAAAAACAACCTTTGTCTTTAAAACACTCTAACCCATTCTTGGAAAGTTAGAGAGAAAATGATATACTAAGTTTTATCTACAACTTGAATTAAAAATCATTCTTGAAATGTTCTCTGATTAGATGAAATAGTTGTTAAATACAATTAAAGATAGTATCTCTCCATAAGACTCCCACTTCCTTCAATTATTAAGTAATTCTAGTTTACCGAAGTAAGTCTAGTTTACCTGAAATGACTCTATTAATTTAATATTATCAGTATCATATCATAAGCACATTAAATCAAAACAGAGCAGGATTAATTTTAAGTGTCTGACTGAAATTAAGGATGAAAAAATACATAATAAGTATCAATTTGTAATGTAGGTAATGAAAACGAACTACACTTTTTTTCAGAAAAAAGTCTTCTCTCCTATTAGGTACGAACCATAAAAGGATTAAACCACAACAACTTTTTTCATATTGTATTATACAACAAGTTTCTGAAACAACAAAGCAATCATGTCAGAAGTTTAACTAGTTGTCTCTTTCTCTTTTAACAGACTTTTCCACACTAGGTATGAGACTCAGGTACCTTTCTGCTTGATGCTTAGCCAAGGGTTAAGAAGCATCCAGGTACAATTAAATCAGTGATCCCCTCCTAACAAAAAGAGAGAGAGAGAGAGAGAGAAAGAGAGAGAGAAAGAGAGAGAGAAAGAGAGAGAGAAAGAGAGAAAAAGAGAGAAAGAGGAAGGAAGGAAGGAAGGAAGGAAGGAAGGAAGGAAGGAAGGAAGGAAGGAAGGAAGGAAGAAACAGAGAGAAAGAAAGAAAACTATCCCTTGATAAGATAGGAAACATCTCTTACTTTAAGACCAACCATGTCACTTGTTCCTTCAGTGAAAATTGATGTTATCTAGATTAATTATTCATCCCAACAACCTGGCCTTGCTCCCTTCTCCACCTCTAGCTATGTTAACACTACTTCAATAATTTGCTAATAAAGAATCTTAACCCCCGTATCTAACAAATCTTAGAGAGTACTAAGTGTATAATTTACCACCTCATTGCACAGATAAGTAAACTGAGACCAAAAGAACTTAAGTATCTTATCAAAAATCAGGAAGCTAGTTAGTTGAAAAGACCACCCAGGGCCTTCCTGTCCATATGTCTTACTAGAAAAACAGCAAAAATAGTGAAAACAAACAACTCCATGCTTTCAATGGGCTACACAGTATATTTCAACTGTTAAAATAATCCAAGAGAATATTAGTTACACACCAACATCCTTTGGATATTAAGTGCAGGAGCAGTATTAATTTAATCAAATCTGCTCGAATTCATCTTTTATTCATAATTACAAAGATGATGATATTACAGCAAATTAAGTAATACTATAATTTTATTATTCTCTCCCCAAAAGTACCTATTGAAGTTGGGTGATTCACTGTTATGCTTTCAACTAATAAATCAGTATACCAATCCTGGGGTTTAGGCATTCTGTTTGTACTGGAAAAATTATACTCATTTTAATTAAAGTTGTTCTGAGATGTAGAATGCAACCCAGATCCCAAGTGTTTTTAAAGCTCATATTAATTCCATGCTTTTTGAAAATGTATTTACAGAATAAAGTTTCTTTTGCAATTTATATGTTTGTAAACATTTCTATTAGCTAAAAGATATTCTGGAATGTGGTCAAGTATTGTCAAGTCCTAACAGCAGGGGAGGTCTGAGAAATCCCCTTCGGCTAAATCTCTGACAGTTCTCATATGTGGCCACTGCTCTTTAAACCACTGGGTCCCTCAAGGGCTAAAAGAAAGGAAATCCTAACTTAACAAGTGAAGACAGCAAGGCATATTTTAATGGCTATACCTTTCATTTTATTTCCCAAATCCCAAAATTGGATTTGGGTTTGTTTCCAACTGTTCACAATTTAGTATTAAAACATGCCTCTCTCATTCTCCCCCAAAAGAAAGAAGTCATCCACTCCAGCTACATATAACTCCCCAAATTCTTTCCTATAACTTAATGTGAAAACCAAAACACCACGTCTTTGGGGGGAAAAGTATAGAGAATTGGCAGGCTGCATGTTTATGTCAACTTTCAGAAAACATGAAAACATGTAGCCCCAACTCACCAGGAAAATCATCACTTGTGATCAAACTATTTTATTGCACCTTAAGTTTTTTTTATGCATTTCACTTCATACTCAGTATTCCAGTTTTGCACCCACTTGTCTGTATCAACCCCAATTCGCCTCTAGAGCTAATCTACTACTGTGGCAGAACAGCTTTCACATGAGAGTTCTGCTCCTTGCCTGTGGCGTGGTCTTCGAAACACCTGAATCAAATATATTTCTGTTTCCCCTCCTGCTATTTAAAACTGAGAGACAGCATTAGGCTTGGGAGGTGGCTAAGGAACGGTAATAAAAACCAAACAAACAAGCAAACAAAACCCCCAAACGCGGAACACGGTAAGAACAAAGGAAACACAAGCGTGTGAACAGGAAATGAAGCAACTCTAGACACATAAATACCTTTTGGGGCCGCCGACGTAGGTAAAAGTAAAGGTGGAGTCTGAGTACCTGAAATCTGAAACACAGAGTCCCGTTAGAAGCTACCCCTTGAGCGGATTTTTGAACCCCGATCGTGACTCGGGTCCCCTATGTAGTGGCGCCAAGAGGAGGCCTGGCCGGCCGGGCGGCCGGGACCGGAGAGCGGAGAGATCCCACTCTCCCCCCCGCGCCCGAGGGGATGCGGCGCCCCCCTGGCCGGGTGCCGCCGGGGGCCGCCCCCCGCAACAAGTGCCGGGTGCCATGGCAACGGCGGGAAATTCCCAGTCCCGGCGGCCGGAAGCGGCC